TACCTTGAGCTTGACAGTGACAAACACTAAGGTCCACTGGAGGGAGGCAAATGGAACCTGCATTTGAGAAAAAATATTGCTGCTTGGAAAATGAATTAGCTGAGAAATCCTGCTGCTTGACTAGCAGGCATGGCACAGAGCTGCTGTTTGCTTACCGTGCCAAAAGTAGAACTAGTCCTGCCATCTCTCTCTTTTATTCCTCTGCATTTTTCTGCCACATCTGTTCCAGTCAGAACTTCTATTCACGCCATTAATTTCCCTCTTGCCTAGCGCAATAATAAGAGGAACAAAAAGTCCTGCTGTTATTCAGTAAACATACAGAACAAGCTGTCCTGAGTTAATGTACCCTAACTTTTCCCGCCTCTTAAAGCAGATGTGCAAAGGGCTCAGGAACACTCAGCTATTGAAGTAGTTAAACCTCAGCTCTTTCTCAGACGGGACAGTTTGACAGAACGCGAGTCGAGAGTCGGCGGCTCCATTCTGTGATTCATCCAAACCCTCATTACAAGGACAGGGCAATTAACGTCCGAGCCTCGATGTTCAACACCACAGCCAAAATCCTCTCACTCACTGGACTGTGAAATGTTATCACACTAATGGCGCGTTTCCACTGCAGCGGGTAGCTCGCTTTAAGCGTGCAGAGCCGTGCGGGGCCCGTTTTTGGTTGCGTTTCCACTTGGCCTAGTACCGGCTAGCGGGTCCTAATTCACAGTTTTTCTGGCCCCATAAAATCGTGGTTCTAGGGCCAGGAACAACCAGGCTGAGTCGGGCTGAGTATGCTAAACTAGAGAGAGAATCGCTGGCAAGGGGGCTACAACTACAACAAAATGAACATATTTGACCGTGATTTAATTGTAATCCACATTTCAAAATGATGCCGAAGTAACAACATACTGATACCGGTTAGTAAAAACCATAAATTAATGCTTTGACAAGTCTGCAGACAGACGGCAGGCGAAAAACCTTTTTAAATGCGTGTTTTCTGAATGGAGATCGGCTAAGCTAACGTTATATATGCTCCGACCGTCCACACGGCCTATACAGACATAAATAAACCAGCGACTGTATTCACCATGACACAGACAGTCTGTGGTTTGTACTTGTTTAACTTTTGTCTAGTTTCTGAACAGATATGAAGAGCTGTGAGCTCTGAGTGCTAAGAGCTAACGGCTGTGTTGTTTTTCTGGGGCTCTCATTGAAGATGACGTCACGGCTCCGCCTACACTGCGTTACTATAGTAACTACCCCAGTTCCTAAACTGTAACGGAAGCGCAGCATTACAGTGAGCCGGGCCTAATAAGGCCTAACCAAACCGAGCGAGGCCTGCAGTGGAAACGCGCCATTAGACCACAAATCAGGGCTGCAATAGAGAAGGACACACAATAAGTAATATGTGTGGAACAGAATGCTGCACACTAATACTGATGCAAAGGATTCAGGTTAAAGGACTTTGATGAGCTTTTGATTCTACATCAGGAGATAAGATGAGTTGTGCTTTTTAATGTGGATTTAAGGGACTAAGTGTTCCTGACCAAGTAGAAAATGACAGTCCACATTTTCAACATTTATAGAGCTTAGCAACAGAGTTATTTATCAGAACTCTCTTTGCACTAGGAGAAAAAACAAAATGACTACTACTTAACTTTTTACAAGCTATGATGGAGTCTGGTGAAGTGTTCATATGTAACACTGTATTAACTAAGTTGCATTTGACAACAGATGGAAGGACTTTTCAGCTCATGTTTTAATGGCTATTCTCGCAATAAACCGATATTCCCTGAGGACATTTTGACATGTCATGACGTAAAAAGATGTCACAGTTCGAGGGCAAAGGTTAATCTTGTGCATGCTGGTTCACTGGGACAGTTCAATGGTGCGTCAATAATGTTATTAGTTACACCTCTACTTTTCCTGCCATGCCAATTCAAAATTCTGCACCAAATAAGGTTAATTATAATCAGAATTCACTATTTGATTTGAGTATAAACTAAACGCTTTCATTTTAAATTGTGAGTTTAGTGTTTTTGACCCTAAGAAACACTGATGCATTAATCAATAACAATAATCTACAGCTCCACAACTGCCTATACACTTTAATTTGATATTATGTTATTATACAAATATCAAAAATAATGTGGTGTATTTCATTTGAAAATGCCACTTGTTTGTATTTCATCCCCAGCTTCCAAATGTGAGGTTTAATTTGCATCCATCTAGCAGCTCAATTTCCAATGATCAACATCTGTCTCATGCCAAAGTATTCGACATTGATTAAAGAGTAGTAATTATTCCACTACAGTACACATGGGAGCACAATTGGAGCATCAGGCGGGCGTCCAAGTGTTTATTGGGGGCCGCCCATCTGCAAGCACCTTGTCCCTTTATGATGAAATGCTGATGTTGCTATTATTCTGAATGGTGGCAGTCGTTGATTACAATGTGACCACAAGAGAAAAACAATTACTCAAAGACAGAGTAGTAATCATGGCTCTATGAGAGAAAGATCAATATCCTTGTCCACAGTGGGATACACGGTGCCCTGTACAGTCCGTATTAAAGCGTGCTGTGGCCCGAGGTAAGCAGAACAGGGCGAGGTTAAAGTCATACAACTGGCTCCTTTATAGTTTCATTGTATTAAAGGTGGGGTAGGTAATGTTGGAGAAACCAGCTCGAGTGCGCTAGAATTTGAAAATACACAGCCGGAAAAATCTGCCACTTCCTTACAGAGCCCCTCCTCCAACGAACGAGCACATGACCAATGAGGGCACGAGATAAGTTTGTGCCCAGATGGAAGGCTGACAGGCAGGTAGGCCATCCAGTTACTTTAGTCGGGCCGGCTAAATTGAGTGGTCGTGCTTTTTACAGTACCACGGCTTCCACAGATGACATGTTTTTATGGATTTTTTGTCAAAGCACTAAAGATATTCATTGCTATCGGGATGTTAAGAGCATTCCATGGAATATAACAAAAAGTGTATCTCGAGCCGGTTTCTCAAACTTACCTACCCCACCTTTAACTCAATGATCAATAGAAAATCCATACAATCATTTGTAAGCCTCTGTTGTTTACAGATAGGCTACTGTTTTTGGTTCACAGTATACAAAGCTTAAAATAACGTACAGCTGTTTTTATCTCGGTGCTGAAAATAAAACCACAGAGAGAAGAATGCCTCCAATAAACACACCCATCAGTAGCCAACATTAGCATCTGCTGTGATGCGTTCAAAGGCAGCTGACCTACACAAACTACAATATACTGCACACTTCTGTCTAAAGTTACTGCTGCACAGTCAACAACTCACACGGTCACTCACATAAGAGAAACATGAAACGTATAGGTAATTATATAACATAAAGTGAATTAATAATGTTTTTGAATTGAGGAAAGAACATGAACTCCAGACAGAGATGTGAAATCTGATTCTTCTTTAGTTCTCTCTACACAGAGGGGACTATTTAGTGTTTCAGAATACCCTGCAATCCCCTTTTGCTCTGCATCATCAGATTCAGGACACTGCATATGTTTGTGCTTAGCAGCTTTGCTTTCTCACCAAGACCAAGAAATGATAACATATAATGAAACAACGACATTTTACTCACATATAGCAAAAACATCAACTTTGAAGTTTGATTTGATTTGATAAAAGCATTCTCCTGTCAAGTAAAAATGCACAAAGGAATGCTTTGATGATGCATACAGCCACACATAAACTGGCAAAATAACTCTGGGACAACAACTCTTTATTGGCAGCTATTAAATAATGAATTGTTCTTGCTCCCACATGCTAGGCCTGGCCTTCATGTTGGCTACTGGGGATACTTTCCCCCAAACTACAAGACTCCTCTAATTAAACTCGTACTTTCTGAGCAGTGCTAAGCTCCTCTGTCTGATCAGTCATTGGCTGATTAACATAATGCACACCATGCAACATCTGCATTTAGTTCCCAGTTAATCAGGAACACCTAGCTAAAGCAGCCCTGCAGTGAATCCTACCTTCATCAAGGTTGAGATAGTCAGATGTTTGGATGTTTTTAATAGTCTATCCTTACTTATATCGATGGGAAGGTGACAGTGTAACCACACCGTGAGTTTAGTTTTTATAGTGAAACAATGCTGAATAATAAAGCAAAACATAGTCAAGCCAGCAACAATATATTGTGGTTTTTTCATCTATTAACATTTTTGAATCTTGAATAAATGAGAATGCTACATTGCTTAATGAGAAATGTACAACATGACTGAAAGAGCCAGATTTCAAACTTGTAAGTCCCTAAACATAATACGAACAAAAAGCAAACCCAACTTCCGTTTCCAAATGTGTAGTTTTAGAATTGAATCGACAGTAACAGAAGCAGCTATTATAGTTTTCTTGCAATAATGTATACGACACTCAACAGCGGGATGAGGAACACATCGGTGTATAAAAGCAAGCTCATTATGGCATTAATAATTTGCACTGATTTGCATAAGCCAGTATGTGTGCTTTCCATTAACACGTCGACAATAAAAGGTTTTATAATGAAGTTACTCGTGACATTTTGGTTATACTTAAAGATCGGCACATTTCTGGAGTTGTGGGTTTGATAATTTAAGGAAGAATAGATGCCCAAGATTTTTTTTGCAGGTGATTTGCAGACTACTTCATCGCAACGTAGCCCCTCTAAACCGGCTTGGTTGACGTGTGCCTGAGCCGAGATCAAAGCAACACAGCCTCACGACTTCCAGCGGCTACAGAGAACAACCCAACTGCCCCAAAGTCTTTAGAAAAACACCAATATGTGTCCTTTGCACCAGGTTTTAATCACGCATCTTAAACACAACGAGGAGAAGTAGACACACGGTATCAAATGTGCACAGGGGGCTTTGCAGGGGAAAGACACAAGGGGCCATATGTCTCATCTGGCCAATTAGCTAGCCTGCTAGCCAGCAACGGTAACAACAAAATGCATTGGCTATGAACTACACTGGCTCAACAACGTTAGCTTCAGTAGCTACTCACCACAGCAGAAGAGTCCGAATTGTCCAAATAACTGAGTCAAGGCCGCCCGGTGGCTTTGTCAAAACCTAAATAACTCGTTGTGTTTAATTTTGCAAGACTACAGTCACCGGACAAGCCTGCGGTGTTGCTGCGTTTTCAGCTCGCTCCGCTCACAGCACCATTAAAAGCTGCATTGTTGGAGCGACGGCTGGACAAACAGCGCCGACAGTGCGCTGCAAAGCATTGTGGGAAATGGCGTTCGTTGTCCGTGTCGTTCAAACATGGAAATATTGGGGAAATGCTCCACCCAGTGTTCAGTGTGGGTACTTACTTGCTCTCAATTTAAAATAGAAGATTATATAACATTTAATTTTTAAAATACTACATTAGTTATTTATCTTATTGGCTCATTGTTATTTTCTTATTCTATTTTTACATACATTTTTACATTTCATGTTGTTTATCATCAAATGCAGTCATTGGTAAATCTTAATCCTAATGTGTTTTGGCTTAATGATCCATCTTCCTCTTGAAAAATACCATACGACTATGTGTTCTTATGTTTTAGTAATTTAGTCTTACATGTTACAGGGTGCTTAACAAAATATGAAACCATACTAAAAAGGGGACATTATAGGACAAAATCAATTCAAATAAAAAACGGATATAAAATGACTTATTTTACAGAATGAACATACATCTACATACATCTATTTTTCCCCGGGCGCTGTACAATAGCTGCCCACTGCTCCTAGTGCTAGACTCCTGGTACTAGGATGGGTTAAAATCATAATGCAGAGGCCAAATTTCACTGTGTGTGCTGTGTGCTCTGCATGTGTGACCATTTAAAAGAGGGTTTCATCCCTCCCCAATTATATTCTACATGTAAAATAACATCAACAAAAATCTGATAAAAACATAAAATAAATTCCAGTTTGCCAATACAATTCTTTAACAAAATATATACATTTCATATGTTTCACTTAAATCCTGCATGCCCCATTGTTCTTGTGTTTTTTTTTTACGTTTTGTATTTTCGATTGTTATGTATTTGTTTCACTTGTTGGGAAAATTCCATAAATAAAATGCTTTTATTTCATAAAGCCCTCTATGCTCTTCATGTCCTGAGGGGCTGTACGTGTAGTTCCCCTCTAGGTGGCAGCAGAGAGTCCGTTGGAGCACAAATCGCCACAGAAGAAGACTCTCCATAGTCGCACGGTGATGACACTTCATCAGGAAAATGGAGAAAAAACACATGTCAGCTTTTGAATTGTACAAAACGTTGTCACCAGATTTGCCTCCTACTGCCACGAAGTCGCCCCTGCAGGTAGATATTATTAAACAAATGATATTGAGAATATTTCTGCATGTTGCTATAAACTGTGATATACTCAGCGGCTGGAGGAGGGGCAGTGTGAAACTAGCACATCCTCCTGATAGCTAGTTAGCTGTTCAACCAGGTTATCTGCTAACTATCTCACCTGTGTGTATGCTATGTTATATTACGTTTTAGGTGTCAAATAAGAAGAAAAGGAAAAAGGAGAATGGGGCCAGTAAGGTCAGCCCAATTAAAGCTCAAATAAAGCCTGAAAGGAAGCCTGAAAGGAAGAAAATGCGAAAGAAGTCTGCACAAAGAGAGGAGAGCCTTAACGAAATTACAGAAGTAAGTTCTGCAAAGTACAAAGATGGATGCTATTATGTGCATCTATAAAAATATGTTTTACTAACAATAGTAGTATATATTTGTATTTTGTTGACCATACTGTTCAGTTATGTTCCATTGTGTTTATGCTTGTATTGCAGGATGAGGAGTGTGTAAATGGACATGGTGAGGCTGGAGAGGCTCTGGATGCTCTGCTGGCCGATCTGACAAAAGTGAACAACAGCAAGGAGAGAGCGAGCAAGCTGTTCCAGTGGCTCATCAACCCCATTCCTGTCAAGTCCTTCTTCAGGTACACATGAGCGTTTTCACAGTGTTTATTAACTAGTGTGAAAAACAAGTTACATTTTCTGGGCCGCAGTAAAGCAACATTGTGGTTAAACAAAGCATTGCATTTGGTTAATCATTCAAGTGTCATATTTCTTGGACCATTCACCGGCTAATCTTTTTCCTGTCTCTAAAGAGAAACATGGGAGAAGAAGCCCATTCTTGTTCAACGAAAGAATCCAGATTACTACAAGGGACTATTCTCCACAGCCGAGTTTGATCGCATATTAAGACAGGTAAGGGTTTCAAACGTCACCTCGTCCATCCTTTCTTTATCCTTAATTCCCCTATCTGTTGGTACATTTGTCGCTTATGCTATCATCAAGAAACATATTTTACACACTACATCATTCTACAGAGTTATTATCAATGTATTATTCTGGGTATTAAGGAATAATAATTAAATAATAAAAAGTACTTCCCTTTATTTAATGTGAGAACATTTCCTTTTTTTGAAATCACAAAAATAGTGTTTATTGGGAGACTGCATAACATAGGTTATTTAGTTAAATCTTTGTTTAATGGTTAACATTTATTTAGCATATTGGATCTTTTGAATCTGTAACTGCAGGGACTTATAATAATCGAAGGAAGTTTGATGAGGTTTGTTTTTAATTTTTTAAAATGTATATAGAGAGAGAAACTTAATGAGAAGTAAATATTCATTAATTTGTGTCTTTATTAGTTGTTCTTTTTTTTATTTCTAGTGACCAAATACCCTGATATGTTATTTTGCCTGTTTGCATATTGCTATTTCTATCGTTGATATCATTAAAAGAAGAGCAACAACCAAGTGTGAAAATCAATCTGTGACACTAGACTACATGTCTGCATTTTTCAATCAAAGGATGAAGTTCAGTATGGAGTGAACCTCGATGTCACGAGCTACACGAATGGCAAGAGGGAGACGCACAATCCTCCGGGGAGAGCTCTGCCCTTCACTGTGTGGGACTTCTATGAGGTAAGGCCACATTTTTATAAAGTGATTATTAGCAATGCTACATTCCTGTGATGTAAGGCTGCACGATTTGGGGAAATAATGTAATTGCGATTTTTCTCACAGATTCGATTCGATTTGCGATATTTGTTTTTAAGCGACCCAACGGAGGTTTATTGTAAAATGTGGCCATATCTCCGGCTAGGAAGGTCGCATCAACGTGCTCCCGTCTCTAGCACCCCCGCAGCCCGAGCTACGAGTGAAAGAACTAAACTTACATGAAACTTCCGTTGGGTTGCTTTAAAGTCGAGCTTCAGTTTAAGATTCACCCTGTAATAGAAACATGTGATGGAGCATTACTAACCTGACTCAGAAACCATCTAGGAAAGCTCCATTGGAAGCCATTTGGAAAGGGCAGGCACTTTCAAAAATACTTGGCAGGTGATTGGATCAATCTGTCTATCACCTTCTATCATGGGCCACTTCTGATTGGTTAACAATGGCAGGTACATGTGGAGCACAGCACTTCTGATTGGTGTGGATGACTGACACACAAGAAGAACAAAAGAAAAAAACAGTTAAAAAAAATCGCAGGCTTTGCGATTTGATAATTACATCATTTCAAATCACGATTTCAAATCGATTAATCGTTCAGCCCTACTGTGATTGAGCTTTTTTAAACTCCTTATAATTGGATCCTTTGACAGCATGTTATCTGCCCCAGTTTTCTCTCTATGGGGATCATTACAGTCTCCTCTCTCTTTGAAATATTCCAGAACCACTTTCATTAAAAAGCAGTTAGAAGCATGTTTTTGTATTCAGCAATATATTCATTTTTTATTGTTCTGTGCTGCCAGCAAGAAGTCATTTTGTGCTTATAAAGTGAAATGTACCTCCATCTCCCAGAGTGGCTGCTCCCTCCGCTTGCTGAATCCTCAGGCTTTCTCTTCCACCGTGTGGAACGTGCTCTCCACCCTCCAAGAGCAGTTTGGCAGCATGGCAGGAGCCAACGTGTGAGTATTTGGCAAAGTTATTATTCTGGAAGCATTTAGGACTCAGACTTCAGAATCTATAATGTATTTGTTCCCTTTGACCAGTTACCTGACGCCACCTGGAACACAAGGCTTCGCTCCACATTACGACGACATTGAGGCGTTTGTGGTTCAGCTGGAGGGGAAGAAGCATTGGAGAGTGTACAGCCCCAGGTGAGATACAGCAAGGAACCTTTGAAAGAACGGCAGCAAGTTCATTTCACACTTTATTTGGCTACATTAACAATGCAGAAACTGGTAGATAATTGTAACGGTTTGAGATTGAACATCTAGTTTTATGCACTACATTTCCCATAATACAATCATGACACACTTAACCAGATTGAGTAATTGAGGGATGATGACCTCAATGTACGTTTCTTTCTGGGTTGTTTTTGTAGGTCAGAAGATGAAGTCTTACCCGTGCTCTCAAGTAGTAAGTAGAACAATGTTTTCATAGACATTCAGTTAACTTTTTGTTCCAAGGATTAATTGAATTGTTTTTTAACTGTTGTCTTTTACTTACACTTGAGGTCGTATTATCATACAACCTTATTTCCTAAATGTTGTATTGCTTTTAAACTGTTTTAATAGTTATTTATCATTGTCTGTCTGCCATATTTATTGTTGTCTTGTAAAGTCCTTTGTAGCTTTGCTTATGGCTATATCAATCCATGTTATTATTATCTATAGAGAAAGGCATTTGGCTCAATTTGGTCGGAAACAATATTTGGAGATTTACTGTTGCACAAATCTTAAAATGATATTCTCCGATGTTAATCCTTTGGGTTTCCTCTTTAGCAAACTTCAATCAGACAAACATCGGGAAGCCCATCCTGGAAGTGGTGCTAGAGGCTGGGGACCTTCTTTACTTTCCCCGGGGATTCATCCACCAGGGCGACTGCCTGCCAGATGCTCACTCGCTCCACATCACCGTCTCCTCTTTCCAGAAGAACAGCTGGGGGGATCTGCTGCACAAGGTGACTTTCTGGTCAATGCCCTAATCACAAACCTACATAGTGAACAGAAGGCAGCATCAGTGCCAGGCTACATTGGCACGTTTATTTATAATGCAGTACAGGATTAGCATTTAAATATGTATTTCTTTATATAATGTATACAGTAATTATGAATAGCATTTCCCTTGATACTTGGAGGTGGAAATGGAATTGAACCTACAGCTACTTTTGAGAGAGCTTTCACATTTGCTGATCTAGACACATTTATATTTTCTTAGAAGAAATATTTGAGCAATGAATAA